TAAATTAGTGCTTAGCATTATAAATAAGCACAAACAATTTCAGCATTTTCTACACGATTAATAACGCCAATTAATCGCAGCAATGGCGGCAGGCAGCAGTGATTGCCATGTAACTGACAAACTGGTCGACAGTTGCTAATGAATTAATCAGCGTGGAGATTAGATCGCAGATTGCCGATTCTGGATCTGCGATCGGTGATCAGAAACCATTCAGGCAATCGCGTAAAGAGCGTAGGCATTTAAATGCGAGCAGCACACTATGTTATTAGCGGCGCAACTGACAAATGATAATTGGTATTTGCATGACAATTAGAATCGCCGTCCGATCGCTGCCAAGATCGGATCAGATGGGCGCCAGGCGTCTTTGAGAAGCTGCCTCCGAGTTCGAGGCGAATGCCATTGGTCACGCCGGGCACTTCCTGCATATTTGAGCCGGTTTAAGAGCTCCATTCAGCCATTCAGCCATTCAGCCATTCAACCAGTCAGTCAGTCAGTCAGTCGGTCCATGATCAATGTCGCAGGCTGAAACACTAATGCCACCGAAAATGCGCCACAAGGATCGTATTTCTTGAACTTGACATTGAAAACAACAACGGCACAGATGAAGATGCCAATCCGCTTAGCGGGCGGAATGGTGCGATCGTTATCGCTGATCCCCAACCAAATTAATTCCCGGTCCTAAGTGGCTCTTAATTGTTGCAGTTTATTTCGGGAGTGCACCCAAGCATCGATCGCAGGGGCATGTCACTCAGTTCATATGGGGAAAGGGGCAGGGCGAGTGCCGGGGGCAAACGTATCCAGTTGCAATGCTGACAAGATCACGTACAAAGTGCAACTTTGCTCGGCTGTCAATCAAATAATGATGTTACTCCGTTCGCCCAACACCAAAGGGTTTGTTCAACTGGAATGCGCACCATTAGGTACTCGATCAGTCGCTGCGAGGGCGGCTTGATATCTTCAGCTGTTTGCCACTCTCAGGGAGATACTCTAATCTGCTATTGTGCAAAGTGATGGTATGAAGATCAATCACAAGATTGTGATAATATAAGTGCGACCTGGCACTCAATCCTTCTGCATTGTTACACAGTAGGATTAACTTTATATGTGATTTGAATATGTTTGTATTTGTCTCATAGAGACATCAGATTTCGATGTGGTATTCTTTTAAAGTCTTGTGGCTTTATTCCCTAAACATCTGCGTTTAAATAATGATTTGTAATTTTGGTCGAACATGTGTGATTTTTATCATTTTACACTTTTCTGAATTTCCGAAAAATGACTTGGCAGAAAAGTGACCAAAAAGATGGAGTTCCAATTCTATAAATTTTCCTATAGACATCCGATTCCGAAGTGTTATACCTTTAAAGTCATGTGGCTTCAGTCTCAAAATATTTGCGTTTAAAAATTGCTTTGTAATATCGGGACAATTTGTTGTAATTATTATGATGTATACTTTCTAAATTTCCGAAAAATGACTTTGTAGAAAAGGGACCAAAAACCTGCAGTACTAATATCATAACTTTTTTTTAAAATCATCCGATTTCGAAGTAGTGTACCTTTGAAGTTTTTAGTCCCTTAAAATTTGCGTTTAGATATTGGTTTGTAGTTTCGGGCCGAAATGTATTTTAAGAGCCTTAATTTTCAATGGCATTTCTATAATCAAAAGAATTTTTGGAAATTTTCTCTATGTGTTAAAAATACTTGCTAAATTATCTTTTTTTTTCAACTAGTCGTGTGTAACCCTGTCGCTTCTAATTAAGTTTAGTCCTATCATTGATTAAGGTGCGTCATCACTAGATGATCTTATACAATCTTGCTTAAAGTGTTTGCACACAAGAAGCTTGTCTTTTGAAATGTTATACCAACTTATGAATAACCTCTTATCGTTAACCAATATTTTCCCAGGAATGCTGACCTCTGGCGGTGACATTACCTTGAACGCCGAATGGTGATCAATGAGTGCCCGAACGCAACTGTCGCACCTGGAAAGCACTATCACCGGGAGATAAGCCGCCGATATCAAACAATGGCCCACGAATGTGTCGGCCATCGAAACACAAGTCAATTTTGTCTGCTTATGTTTGGGTTTATATTTGGGTTTCATTTTTTCGGCAGTACTTGAACGAGCTGACTGGATGAGTCACCCGTCGTCGGTAATAACTAATTGTCTTTAAGCCTAACAGAATTACGTCTATCAAAAGATTAGTGTCCGTTGCCGCAGTCGGCCCATTTCTTGCCCAGTGCCTGATCGCGTGCCTGGTGCCGGAGGACCTTGCCACTTCCGGTTTTGGGCAGCTCGGTCAGGAAGAAGACGCCGCAGTGGAGCTGCTTGTGCTGGACCACCAGGCGCTTGGCCACGTACTCCACAATGTCCATCTCGGTGAGTCGGCTTCCCGGAACCTTGACGACTGCCGCCGCCGCAGGATCACCATCAACCTCGTTCCACAGTCCAAAGACGCAGGCCTCGATCACATCCGGCAGTTCGGCGATGACCTGCTCCAATTCGTGGGGACAGTACTGGGCGCCATGGAAGCGCAAAAGGTCGCCCTTCCGCTCCACGATGTGCAGGAAGTTCTCGTCGTCGAAGTAGCCCATGTCACCGGTGTGGAACCAGCCCTGGTAGTCCTGCATGCGCTTCGACTCATTAGGATTGGCGTAGTAGCCATTCCACAGCTTACCATTGTGCACCAGTATCTCGCCCGTTTCTCCATGTCCCAGACTTCGACCTGCATCGTCCAGGATCTTCACCCGCACCCCCGGCACAATCCTGCCCACGGACGAGGGCTTGGACACGCCCATGTTGGCCGCCACTCCCCCGCACTCCGTCAAAGCGTAGCCGTAGGATATCTGTCCGGTGACCAGGAAGTCCTGCAGCTTCAGAAGATTGGCCACGTAGCAGGAGCCTCCGCCCACGCTCACAAACCGAATGCTGGCCAATCGCTGCTTGCTGAGGGTGGGCGCCTTCAGCAGGGAAGCCACCTGCTGCGGCACCACTGTCAGCAAAGTTACCTTGTACTTCTCCACCAGCTGGAGCATATACTCTGGCGTGTAGGCCCGATCCGTGATGATCCGCGTGGATCCATGACAACAGCTGAAGAGCATGTTGAACATTCCTGCTGACCAGTCGATGGTGCTGAAGGACAGCAACACATCCTGGCCAGTCACGAAGCTGAAAGAGAGTTAGAAATATAAATGAGTTATGGTTTTATAAGATTATATATGGGCTTTGCTAAAAATAGGCCTATGTAGCGATCTTCTATGTTCTTTTAAGTTTAAGACAACTATAATGCTAATCAATATATTTCTAAAAGTTTCAACTAGAAAAGTCTGTATATTTCTGGAGCTGCAGTTTGACTTCAAAACTAATTTTACTTATTGACAGCTTGGAATATCTTGTTACCAACTATGTTTTTGCTATATGATTAAATAGTAAATACATTTAAGTAATATTAAATGTCTCCCTTTACTAAAATGAACAATAGTCCCCCTACCATAAGCTTTATATAAATTATCTTTCAAAACATACAAATTATGTTTCTTTTTCTATAAGCAAAGTTTCAAAAACCTCAAAGTTTCGCCGTAGATCTTACCCAAAATCGAAGAGGCAGGCGGAGTTGCTAATGCAAACGGCCTTTGGTAATCCCGTGGTGCCCGAAGTGCAGAGAATGGCCACTGTGTGATCGCCGCCCAGAAGAAGCGTTTCGGGTCTGTGTAGAATAAAAAATCCAAAAGTCACAGGATGGTTTTACAAACACCCGGTAGAAGTCCTTACACATAGTAGAGCTCAGCTTTGGTGGGTTCCAGCAGATCCTCCACCCGCGGCATGCCCAGTCGATGATCCTTCAGCGTATAGACATGGCTCTTGAGTATCCTGGCAATGATGCTCAGCCGCTGGTAGACGTATCCATCGCAAAAGATGATCCTCGGTCGGGTGATGGAGAACAGATGCTTCATGGTGTCCTCGTCGTGCCAGGGACTGACCGCGTGAAAGGGCGTTCCGTTCAGCAGACAGCCCAGCACTACGGGCATGAGGTAAGTGGTGTTGGTCCCAGCGATGCCCACCACGTCGTCCTGTTTCAGCCCCAGTGCCTTGAGCTGCTGGGCAATGCGGATGGCAAAGGTTATGGCCTCGCCATTGGTCAAAGCGGTGCCCTCTGTGTCTGAAATCTATCAAAGAGCCTTTACTTTGAATTTAAGGCATTACCAGGGCGTTCGCCATACCTGACATATGCTGGACGGGTGGTTCCGCATAAAGGCGAACAGAATTTTACCAATCGAACAGTCCACATCGAAGAAGTTCGCCGGCCTTGGTCCACTCCAAATTTTAGTGTATTTATCGAATTGCGTGCTCGAGCGTTCCATTGTGGCGGCTGATAAGACGGGGTTTTGGCCGGGCGTGAATCCGAGTCCGGGTCCGGGTCCGATAGCGGTTCTTCAGCAACTGGCGACCGCTTTCATGTTCGGGCCATTTGAAGTCCAGGCGGAATCTTATCGCTTCCAGCCGCCTTCCAAGCGGTTCGCTACGTCATCGATTTGAGGGCGCAGCGAGAAAAGCTCGGTGATAAGCGATTCCAGCCAGATAAGCTCAGTTGAAAAATGTTTGAGATATTCTCTCTGATAGTGGGCACCAATTTGAGTGGGTAAATGAGAAGGCCTTGACTGGGTGAATGCCCCTCTCATGACCCATTTGTCTTTATACGTACACTGGGAAAAAACGTCGTAATACTATACATACTTAAAATATAAATACTAAAATACTATAATAAAATACTTTCTTAGGTATTTCATACGCAATTTAAATATTTTTCTATTTGATTTTCAGCCATTGCGGTATTTAATCATTTTAAATATGGACTTATACATTTATACATGAACTTAAATATGTCAGATATTTTTTTTTACTATTCCTTTCTTTTTTATATCAGTGTTATAGAAACTAGTTTAAAGAGTTATCCGACAATATGCTACAGCAATAGAGAAATACAAAGCACCCACTCTTATTGAATTAGGTTAATTTATTTAGTAATCTAATAAATTCTAACTAGAGATGCGGATAAGGGGACAACATGCTTATCCTTAGGTTACAATTATTTACTTAACTAATAATTTCCTTCTATATATTTGGAAAATGATTTCGTTTTCGCTAATAAAATAGACACACTTTTTGGTTTTTCTAGTATAAATTTGTGACATTGGATACAAAATGTATACTTACTACTAAAATGAACATGTCTGATTTTCTAATTCGGTGGAATTTTTTACCTCCAAGAAAAAGGCCTTGGTGCCCAAGCGGTTGGTTTTTCCATTGGGACTGCGCACCAGATCCTCCATGATGATGGCTCCTCCGTGAAGGTGCTTGTACCTGGCGTCGATGTGCGTGGCCACGTAGTCCACAATGTCCTGGGCTGTCAGGGCACTTCCCTGTGTTTTGACCACGGCGGCGGCGGCCTCGTCTCCGACCAGCTGGTTCCACACCCCGAAGACGCAGACCTCGGCCACGTCCGGCATCGCCGAGATGACCTTCTCGATGTCGTTGGGATAGTACATGATGTTCTGGTACTTCAGCATGTCCTTCTTGCGCTCCACAACGTACACGAACCCGTCGTCATCCACGTATCCCAGGTCCCCGCTGTGGAACCACATCTGGGCATCCCGCATCTTGTGCGTCTCCTCCGCATTGCCGTAGTACCCAGCCCAATGCTGGTCATTGCACAGGCACAGCTCGCCCACCTCATCCGGCCCCAAGGACTCTCCCTTTTCGCAGATTACCTTCAGCTTGAGTCCTGCCACCAAGCGACCCACTGAATTGGGCTTCTCGTCGAAGTGCAAATTGATGGAGGCCATGCTGCCCAACTCTGTAAATCCGTAGGCAAAGTGAAGACAGTCCTTGCTCAGGCGACTCCTAATGCGATGCTGGGTCTCCACGGAGGCCCGAGATCCTCCGAACAGGTAGAACTTTATGCTCGACAAGTCGGAAGTTTCGAAGGCTGGGCAGTTAGCCATCATGGCCATGTGGGTGGGCGGCTGAATTATCCATGTGATCTGGTGCTCCTCGATGAGTCGCATAATCAAGGCCGGATCGAAGACATTGTCGGCTATGACGCGCTTTGTGCTAAACACTCCGGATGTGACGGTGGTCAGTAGTCCGGTGATCCAGTCGAGGGTGCTGTGCGTGTACTGTACATCGTTGGTGGTCAGACGGCTAGGGGAGCAGGGATTACTAGGGGATCTCAGAAGACAAGGACCCTACTTACTGGCTGGAATTTAGGATCTGCCTACTGTTCGTAATGGTTACAGCCTTGGGAATTCCAGTTGTGCCCGAGGAGCAGAGAATGGCCAAGGTCTGGTCATTGCCCTGTTCCAGTTTAGCTGGCCGGAAGTTTTCCTCCATGGGAGTGGCCAAAACTTCATCGATCCGGATAGAATCCTTGGGATGGTTGCGCATGGTGACGATCTTCACGTCCAGGTGGGCTGTGGCAGCTCGCACCTTCTCGAACTCATCCCCATCACAGAAAATGACTCTTGGCCTGGTGATGCTGAACAACTTTTCGATGGTACTCTGCTCATATGAGATATTGAGCGAGTGGAAGGCTACGCCATTGAAGAAGCAAGCGTAGGCCACAGCGGACATGTGGGTGGTGTTCCTGCCAATAATTCCCACCACATCGGACTGGAGAAGGCCCAGGGATCGCAGATAGCTGGCCACGCGCATCGAGTTGACATGCAGCTCCGCCCTGGTCAAAATGGTGTTCTCCGTGGCTGAGATCTGGAAGGTGTTTTACTTTAATATCGAGTCATCGAGAGCACTTCAGTGCACCCACCTGGGCTATCAGTTGCGGATGCCGTCGCATCTCTTCGAAGACAATCTCCCCGATGGATAGATGTGGGTCAAAGTAGTGCTCCAATTTGCCACTGCTCCAAACCTTGCGGTCGGCGTCGTAGAAGTTTGCTGGTCTGTATGGCATTCTGGGAACTGCTTTGCCTTCGGGTTAAGATTCTCGACTGAATGCAAAGTGCAACTGCAGCTCTCCTTTTATAGAGGCGAGCGTTCTGTTCGCAAATTTTTTTAGTTAACTTTCGGGGCGTACGAGTAGGTTGCACTGATTACTGAAACCGACACGCGATTACAGCCGCACTCGTGATTGTGATCAAAGTAGTCGAGCAAGTGAGGCAATCTCCATAACAAAGCACTCGGCTTCTGATCGAGTAATTGGCGGTAGGCCCCCAACATCTGTAGACTGGTGTTCTCACCATGACTAGGCAGATTCTCTATTGAAAGTGATGTGCATGTGTATATGTGCATTGTTAATATTGCCAATAGTGGCATATAGATTAGTTGTAATGAATGTTTTCAGAGACAGAGAGTAAAGATTCGATCTGCTAAAGGAGCACTTTTCGGAAGCTCTGTTTGACGAAGAACTTTTAAGTGACCCGTTTTAAAATGCTTGATATCAAGATATATCATTAAATAATATTTCTTCAAGAAACTACTTTTTTTGCAATTACTACAACTTCTATTTATATCAAACTAAATAGTTAATTTTCTTGAGTGTTTCTTTTATAAGACGATTTTTGTTCATTAGTCGATGATGTAGCTTAATTAGTTGGGGCAAATATTAAACAGTTTTAATAGTAGGTTTCTACTGAGTTTACTGAGTCCTCTTAATTGAAATGTAGATACTAATATATCCGAGCACAATTCTCTACCATATATAGTAAAGTGTTATGTTATGTTTATTTTTCTTATACAAATATCGGTGTAACTGAACATTTTAGTGTGCCAAGTCTTGCTTTGCATCGTCATGGCCTAAATTTATGCTTGGCAATGGTTTATTGAGTGCCTACCAGTGGAATTTAAGACTGGGTCGCATCTTTCAAATAGGATGCCTTCACCGCCTGTCGATTGACCTTACCGTTGGCGCTCTTCGCCAACTGCGGAACGATTCGCACTCCGCCGTGGAGATGTTTAAATGTCACGGAGACGTTCTTCCGCACGAAAAGCTCGACTTGCTTGGCATCCAGTTTGCTGCCGGATCGGAGGACCACGGATGCAGCCGCGGCATCGCCCTCCGTCTCCCGCCAGAGGCCAAAAACACAGACCTCCGCAACGTCGGGCATTTGGGCGATGACCTCTTCGACATCATGCGGATAGTACATCATGCCCATGTACTTTAGCATGTCTTTCTTGCGCTCCACAATGTGCAGATAGTGATCCTCGTCGAAGTAACCTATGTCCCCGGTGTGAAACCATCCTGCAGAATCTCTCATCTCCGCCGTGGCCACGGGATTGCCCACATACCCGCTCCAGGGTTGCTCATTATGGCAGAGGACCTCACCCATCCGGTTTGGACCCTGCAACTGGCCCGAGGAGTCCACAATCTTCACCCGAATGTTCGCCACTAGGCGACCCACAGAGGTGGGCTTCGATTGGGTGTCGTTGTTGTAGGATATGAGAGTGCCCACCTCGGTTAGGCCATAGGCATTCCTTAGGATCCCCGATCCGTGCAGGAAGGACTGCATCTTCTTCAACGTGGCCACCAGGCAATGGCCACCAGCGAAGAGCATGTGCCTAAGGCTTCTCAGTCTTTGGGCTCGTGTACTCGGGCAATTGGCCAGCATGGCCACATGGGAGTTGGCCATGATGGTCCAGGAGATCTCGTGCTGCTCGCAAATATCCAGGAAGTGGGTGGTACTGAACATTTCACTGGAGATCAGCCGTACTGTGCCAAAGACTCCAGCTGTGACCAGGGTTATCAGTCCTGTCAGCCAGTCCAAGGTGCTGGGGGCATACTGAACGTCATCGGAGCCTAGATAGCTAAACATTTAAATTAATATTAAGAGATTAAAAGTGCTTTTGCGGGCTCTAGGAATTTGCGATCCGGCTCGTTCCAACTTATATACTACCTGCAATAGAAAGACAACTTTTGGGAAAGTTTCATGCAGATAGCTTTAAAACTGAGAGACTAGTTTGCATATAAACGGACGGACAGACGGACAGACGGACAGACGGACGGACAGACGGACATGGCTAGATCGACTCTACTAGTGATGCTGATCAAGAATATATATACTTTATAGGGTCGGAGATGTCTCCTTCACTGCGTTGCAAACTTCTGACTGAAATTATAATACCCTCTGCAAGGGTATAAAAAGAAGGATACATAAGTGACTCAGATTTCAAAATCGCGAATTGAAGTAGGGTTGTCAGATGTACATATGTTTTTTTTTTTTTTTTTTTGTAAACAAAAAATCAGTCCCTTAAAGCCGACCTATAAAAAAAATGTTAATGTTTGGTTAATCTACCTTATCCTAATCTATAAAACTGTGCACTCAGAAGTCTCAGTTAAATAAAAATAAATAAAAATCTACATTTTTTTATCATTAGGAATAATTCTTATATGATTTTTAAATACAATTTCAGTTCCTGCAGGTAATAGTCATTTAAATAAGGCCCTCAATGAATTGCTTTTGAAATAATAAAGTTCTAGCATTTTTTGCTTGGTCATATTTTTATGAAAAAAAACTTATAATATATCTAAATACCTGTAAATCTCGAAGAGCTTGCGGCTGTTGGAGAGAGTCACCGCCTTGGGCGTTCCGGTGGTGCCCGAGGAGCAGAGGATGGCCATGGTGCGATCGACGCCTCGTTTGAACTGCGCGGGCTCGTAGTCTTCGGAGAGGGGTTTCTGCAGCAGATCTGCCACGCTCAGCACATTTTCGAGCTTTCCATTGACAGTCACGATTCGGGCTCCCAACGAGGCGCCTATGTCCTTGATCTTTTCGTAGTCAGCCACATCGCAGCACAGGATGCGGGGCTTGGTGATCCCGTACAGACTGGCGATGGTCTTCTGCTCTAGATTGGGGTTGACGGCGTGGAAGGGAGTGCCGTTGAAGAGGCATCCGTAGGCCAAGGCGCCCACATGGGTGGAGTTGCGTGCCAAGAGGCCCACCAGGTCGGTCTCCTTTTTGAACCCCCGGTCGCGCAGATAGCAGCCCACCTTGGCGGCATTCTGCAGCATCTGCGAGCGGGTCAGCCGCGTGTTATCCGTGTGCGAGATCTGGAATATCCTTTGGGGCTGCCGCTGAAGCTGCCGGAAGATGATCTGGCCCACGGTCAGTTCCTCGTTGTACAGACTCTGCTGGCGGGAGCCACTCCAGACCTTCTGAGCCTGATCGTAAATGGTCGCGGGATTGCCGTCGAGGTCCAACATCGTGATGCACGCGCGGTTTGCAACTGCTGCACACTAGGTTGTCGGCAGCTCTATTTAAAGGTCAACGAAATTGGAGAAATTAGTCGCCAATTTAGCAGTTAAAGTGTCCGGATATTTAATTTCATCTATTGATTGCCCAACCGTTCGCTTGACACGATATCTCTGTGGAAAAACGTTTGGCGAATAAGATGATTATCAAGCTGAGCTCTCGACAGCCGTTATTCGTTATTTAAAAATGCGTGTTCTAAGATAAAGCGCGGCTGAACAATTCATAAAAATCATGTTTTCAGTTTTATTTGAGAGAAGTCGGGATTTGTAAGCGGCGTCACTTTTCGTCCATCAAATTGGCTTGTCGAATTGCCATTTAATTAGCTTTGTGTTTAAAAGTCTTATGTAATAAAGTTTTCAAGTCCACAACATTTTTCAAAGAACCGTTATACAAATATTTAGTTCTTCGGATAGCGCCAGCTACACGTTTTCTTTTGGAACTATACGGTGTAAAATTATCTACAGAAAGTTTTTTATAAGTGTCCAATGCTGCCAGTCTACTATTCTAACGTCTTGAATAAGTTTACTTATACAATGCAATTTTGGCGCTATAATGGCGATATCTATTAAAATACCTAAATATGCTATAAAGTGGTGCTGTAAAATAATTAACGCCACCTGGTGGAATAAACAAAGCTTACATATAGTTCTAAAAATACACACGTAGGTGGCGCGTAGTATAAGTAAAAAGTTTTAATGTAAACACACCAGTTTGATAAAGTCATTGATTGGCAGCATTGAATATTTATAGCATCTACCATGTAGATAAAATCAGATCATATAGTTCTAAAAACACCATGTAGGTGGCGCAACCCAAAGAAGAAAATAGCCGTTACAGAGTAACCGTTAAGGTATTTACCAAATCTTTTTTTTAAATTTGTCGTGGTTTTGGAAATTAACATTTTAAAAGAAAATTGACAAGCCAATTTTATACCAGTTAAATAGCAATTCTAATTAATTTCACGACGAAAAGTTTCGCTTCCATTCAAAATATGGGTTCCCCAATCCCGATTGGTCTGATTTATAGTCAGCCAAAACACAAATAAGTAATGGGGCACATAGTCATTACATTAAATATTAAATATTAAATAAAAAAATAAGGTATCTTTACAAAAGCAATGTTAATCGGAACCAAAACTGCGAACGCAGAGTGACTTGTAGAAACGTGTGGGGACCAAGAACAACAATGATAAGACAGAAAGTGAAGCTGATATGTAATACAATCTCTTCGTGGGGTTAGCTGATAAGCATTTGGCAAAGAAGTTACCTGCTGAAAACAACATATCCCATTACTTTTATGATACCCAAGTAAGTTTACGTAGATGGGACTCGAATATACAAATAAAGAAATAGCATACATAATTTCAGCAAAAGAAAGTATTATATATAGTTAATATTTTTATTTTATAGGTAATAAATAAGCCAAAGTGAAGCAATACAAATAAAACCTGATATAATTTTGTTGACCCGCAAAAGAGGAGACTGCTGTCTTTAATTTGTTTATTCAGATTGGACCAGTTCCTGTTCGATGTTGTTATGTTAATCATATCTTTAACTGCTTTTCCACCTTAACTTTTAATCTAAATTTGATAACTGCGTGGAAGCACTCGGATCTATAAAAGAGAGATAGCAGCCGCGAGTCGTCAACAGTTGAGATCTGACTTTACTGGAAGAACAAAGTGAACCTGCTTACAGAATGCCTTACACCCCAGCAAATTCCTACGACGCCGATCAAAAGATCTGGAGTGGTGGTCAAGTCACACATTATTTTGATCCCCAGTTGTCCATCGGAGAGATTATTTTCCAAGAGATGCGGCGACATCCGCAGCTCATAGCACAGGTGGGTACTTATAAAGGTTGTTTATTAAACATATCTCTGACATTTTAAATCTTCTAGATCTCGGCTACGGAGAATACAGTGCTGACCAGAGCGGAACTCCATGCTAACTCAATGCGAGTGGCCAGCTATCTCCGATTGGAGGGACTCCTCCAATCCGATGTGGTGGGTATTATTGGCAGAAATACGACTCATATGTTAGCCGTAGCCTACGCCTGCTTCTTCAACGGAATGGCCTTCCACTCGCTCAACAACACCTACGATCGGAACACCATTGAAAAAATCTACAATATCACCAAGCCACGTATCGTTTTCTGCGATGGCGATGAGTTTGAGAAGGTCAGGGATGCCACTGCTCACCTGGATGTGAAGATCGTCACCATGCGCAATCATCCTAGGGATTCCATCCGGATTGGTGAAGTACTGACCACTCCCATTGAGGAAAACTTCCAGCCGGCTAAGCTAGATCAAGGCAATGACCAGACTTTGGCCATTATCTGCTCCTCGGGCACAACTGGAACGCCCAAGGCTGTAACTATAACCAATAGCCGCCAGATCCTCGCAAGCAATCAGTAAGGTTTTTATTGACTGCCTTGGACTCTTATAACTTACTTTGTTCTTACAGTCATTTGACCACCGCTGATGTCCAATACTCACACAATACCCTTGACTGGATCACCGGCCTGCTTACCACCATCACCTCTGGAGTGTTTAGCACAACCCGCATCATCGCAGATAATGCCTTCGATCCCGCCTTTGCCATGCGAGTCATTGAGCAGTACAAGGTCACCTGGATTATTCAGCCGCCCTCCGCCATGGCCATAATGATTAACAGTCCGGAGTTTGAGACTTCCGACCTGTCCAGCATACGCTGCTACCTGTTCGGAGGATCTCGGGCTGCCATAGAGGTGCAACAGGGCATCCGCAGTCGTCTGAGTCAGGACTGTTTGCGGTTTGCCTACGGATTCACGGAGCTGGGCTCCATGGCCACCATTAACTGCCACTTTGACGAGAAGCCCGGATCGGTGGGTCGTTTGGTCAGCGGGCTAAAGCTAAAGATAATCAATGACCAGGGCGAATCACTCGGACCCGACGAGCTTGGCGAGGTGTGCGTCATGAACAACCAGCATTGGTCTGGCTACTTTGGCAACCCAGAGGAAACGCGCGCCATGCGCGATCCCCAGCGATGGTATCACTCCGGCGACCTGGGCTACATGGATCGCAATGGCTTCCTCTACATCATGGACCGCAAGAAGGAGATGCTGAAGTACCAGAACATCATGTACTACCCCAACGATATTGAGACTATTATCTCTGAGATGCCCGAAGTGGCCGAGGTCTGTGCCTTCGGGGTGTGGAGCGACATCTATGGAGACGAGGCTGCCGCCGCCGTGGTCAAGAAACTGGACAGCGAACTCAAGGCCCAGGATGTTGTGGATTATGTGAGCAGTCGTACGGATTCCAAGTACAAGCACTTAAACGGTGGAGCCATCATCGTGGAGGATTTGAAGCGGAGTGCCAATGGCAAAACCAATCGGATGGCCAACAAAAACCATTTCTTGCAGGTGAAAAGTGGGAGCTAACTGTCCTAGTACTAGTTTGATATACTCGAACGCGCTAAAGAACTACTGTTTAATAAATGATAAGCCCAGCTAAAGTTAAAGTCTCTCTTTTGTGTACTCTTTCATTTCGTTTTGCATCATTTATTTATAAACATTTCACAAACATCATTATTCTGGGGGTTTTACACAATTGTTTCGTTTTTTCCTGGTTTCCATTTTAGGATTTATTCGTTCCTTTCGGGAGACAACAATTATTTCAACTATTTTGTAAAATTAGCTACTAATCTTTCACTTAGGCATTTGATTTGCTGTTTTAATTTCTCGCCGACGGCCTTGATGTGTTATTGCCGGGTCTAAATGTACGTTTAGAATTTATTTCGTTTGTGGTTTTGGCGTTGTTTCTTACTGGGCTTGGTTTGTGTTCCAGCATTGGATTGCATTACAGTGAAATTGATGCGATGTTTTCCTCTGCATCGAATCGAATCGAATCGAACCGGTCTTAAGACTATATGTGTGACTGTGATCTGTGATCTGTGATCTTTGCTAAATCCTCTCATTGTCTGGGGATCGTGGTTTTTTTCTGGCTGTGAGTGTGCATGTCCTGACTTAGCTCTATAAAGTAAGGTGATTTTCAGTGTTTATTGATTCGCTTTTCGCTCGCCATCGATTGCAATTTCGATTCAAATGATTTGGTTGTTTGTCGTTTGTCGTTTGTATTTACACTCCATATCTAGAAATTATAGTTTGAGTTGCTTGATTGTTATAAGTGGGCCATGAGCCGACCCCTTTTATTTTGGAAGATATGTGTTATGATTTATCTAAATTTTAACTTGCATTACTCAAACTCGTTTGCCCCCTCAAACTGTGCAAAGATAAGGTTTCGTTTCGTTTCGTTTTCGATTTCGATTTGGGTGATGTTTTGATTTCATTTGTGTCGTTAGCAAAGATTAAACATCGAGTGAATGGTGAGTAAGTGGTTCAAGTGAGTTCAGATAGTGGGTGGTGAATGCAATTTGCCGTGGCGCTTAGTAGCTTAGTTATGTGAATGCTTTATCTAGTCTGGTTTCGAACTGCCTCTTAGGATCTACACATACGTTAACTTAGGATCTACTCGTTCGCATAGTTCTGCTCGTGTTTACATCGCATTGGTAAATGATTTAATCTCTATGCTTCTCTTTGTTAATCAAAACCTGTAAGTCTTTTTTGAACGCATCTATATATAAAGTTGTGCACAATTCGTGTTACAATTTCCCGTAGTTGTGTTTCTCGTTTACCTAACCATTAAATGACATTTACATGTTCTGACCCAAACTATTTACATTGAACTGGACTGCCGCTGCTAAACGATTTGCCGGAAAAATGATAATTGACCGAATTGGAGAACGGCAAATGAAGAGCAGCACACAACCTAAGTATGTTATTCCACTAAAAATAAATGCCGAAAACCGTGTTTCGCCCTCCCATTGTGTATGACCTAATTTAATTGTTCTTTTGTCTTCGTGATTAATTTCTGCTAGTACGTCAATCAACGCTTTTCAATCAATCAGCCCGTTCCCGGCTGCCCTCTACTTTCTTCGATTTTTTCGATCTTCTCCTGGTTCATCAACTATATGCTCACATTTAAAAACCCTGTATGTTCAATAGCTTCATATACAATACAACTATAGCTAGAGTTATAGTTATAATTCGCAATCTCTTTCAATATTCTGACTAGTTTTTGGTTTCTCTTTGCTTGGCACAACTTTTACAACATGAAAGTGTCTATAAATATTTTCCGTTTTCGGGTTTCTTTATGTTTTGATCGTACTTATGACGCTTGTTTAATGACAACAATTATTATGCAGGGTGCCTTGTGTTGTGTCTATATATTAGAATAAGTTTCAATTGATTTTTGATTTTATTTACGTTTAATTTCTTACCTTTAGATTATAAATGAAAGCAAACAAAAAGCATTTCCAAAACCAAGGGAAAAGTTTAAACAAAAATATGAATAAAACAGGCTTCGAGATAATAAAAATATTTAAAAACTACTAAAATATTTTATTTGATTTTATCTGAAAGATTTAAGTTGGTTTTGTGGTTCTGGTTCTGTTTCTGTTGTTGCTATGTAGAATTCACTTTGATTGTAGTTCTAAAATTAGAGCTCGGTTAGTGCATTTCTCTAATTGGGTTAAATTGGGGAAGATCTTCAGTGTGAATGTATTAGAGTTATTCAAAACAGGGGAAGAGAGTAAGAGTGGGGAAAAAATCTTCTTGGTATACAAAAGGCACTTAAATAACCAAAGATATTTTTGGATATGAAAAGAACTGTATATACTTGATCTAATTTATGTCTTATAATACTGATTTCAGTAAATTTAGGTGTAGTATTCGTTAAGTTCTTCGGGGACTTTTACTACTTGATAAAACATTTTGTATTGTCTGTTAATTGGTTTATGGTTTTCATGTTGTATATTTTTATTTTGTAAGTCTAATTAAGGAAATTAACTAGCTAAGTGGCCACTGCGACCCAATACATAATTAGATAGTTGATAATTTATATTAATATTCTAAGGAACCAAATCAAAAGGGAATTAGAATTCCAGGGCTTAATTCCCAGTAAATATAATAACAGTTTAACTACTATAAATATTCAACTCTAAATTCAAAAGCAAGCCGTTTATAAATAATGAAGAAAGTTTCTAAGAAAGTTTTAGGAAAAATAACTTGCAGATACCCACCAGTTTCAGTTGAACTTATTAATTAAGAGTATTTTGGGTAAATAATTCGGAAATAAAATTCTGTTTTTGTTTTCTGTGTGCTTTGAAGGATATTCTTCGATATTTTCGAGTCGATTCGATTTTTATTTACTTCGATGGTGAACATAATTAAATTGAATTTACCTAGATTTTCTCGCTTCGGTTAGTTGTTCGTTTATCGACTAACTTAAATTTATCTACACGCTTTTTACAATTAGAATTCATTTAAACTAGTTCGCTTAAAACTTATTGTATGACATATTTACAAACGTCGAACTTCCTACGACCTCCTCTTGCTGTTTACCGCTTAACTAACTTAACGCATTTAAGTACAAATCAATTGCAATTTTTTAGAACTAAGCTAGAGTCCGAAACAAAACTCGATTATCGTCGATTACGAGCTAAAATAATTAATCAATTCGTAACAATTTTAAGCATCCTCAGAACAAATCAAGTCAAACAAGTGTGGTGGTGTGTGTCAGTGTGTGTATCGTATAATTATTTATAACATTATCTACTATGCAGTCACTCTTGATCAATTCAACTTACAATTAACTATAATTTTGTCATTCATTTCATCGAACATTACTTGTTCGTTTAGTGGAAGTGCGTTGAAGCCTTGCCGATACCGGATACCGATCTTAATTACTCTGCACTGATCCGAGACATAACCATAAGTATAGCATACAGCGTATAGCATTATCGTAACGTATCCCTCGATCTCGATCTCTATCTCGTTATCGGTATAATTAGTTAATTTCATGTTAGATTCTACATAGCCACTGGATTTCAGAGACGCGCCTTAGAAGGTCCTTTAGCGGTTCAAACCATTCAATCAAGGTGTCAATCAAGAAATCAACCAAATTCGAAATGAAGCCAACAAAGCCATAAGCAACACAAAGCATGAAATGAAGATAACCGAAGTGGAAAAGAATGAAAGGAATAGGTTAGTACATTCGTGTTGGCCAACAGCGCCAACAGCGCCAACTCTTCTATAAAGTAATTGGTGTTTGGCAATAGGTAACGGCATTTACTCATCCTCCTCCTCCCTGAAGAGATATGTGCTCCAGTAGACCAGGTTGAACAGGGCGAAGACCAGCGGGAAGGTAATCCGAGATATAACATCGATTCTCTTGGATCTAGAACATTGTCTTTGCATATTAAACAAGTACGAAAATGCAATTAATTGATCATCTAAAGATTGGCTTTTTGATTTATGTGATTACTTGATTGGTTTATTCATTTGTTTTCTTCGTTTTGAAAAGTTTCAAATTTGGCAAAATAATTTGTTTGTTTTAAAAGGGAAGTTGAACACTACGTGCTGCAAACGAAAAGTGCGATTTTTCTGGGGAGTTAACCACTACATACAAAGGGGGAAGCTAGCATCGGTGGGTCAGGATGCCGGTGTTTGGGACAACTATTTAGGGGTAAATTGAATCACAAGGTCTACAAAACAAAACGGTTATTTTAAAACAAACAAATCACACTCAAAATGTCTGAAAAGGCAAAGCATAACTTGCCGGACAGCCACGGAAAGTGGTGCCGCTGCAAGGGACTCAATTTAACTCAATTAAAATTATATGGAAATTTTTAGAATATCAGTTCACATAAACTTGGCTCAGTTCAGCAAGCAATTAAGCCACGATATTATTAGTATTTGATTTGGCAACAAAAGACAGCGGGCAAACAAAATCGAACGAACGGCAAGCAAGCATCTGAGGCAGAGGCAGAGGCAGAGTCAGATATCGGGTTTGGTATTCTTTGGTTTTTCGATTTTCGGTATCTTTCACAGGTTTTGTCAATGACTGTTGAGTTATGTGATAGCAAAAAGTCAACAAGAGTTAGTGAAAGAGATATAAAGAGTAGAATAGTACATGTTCACAACATCAAAAAGTAAATCCATCAACTACTACGGAACACACAGATATGGAAATGGAGAGCACTAAACGAGGTATCTACATGGAGGGATCGAGAGTGGTGCTTCGGGATGCGGAGTCCCGCAGTTACCTTGTGGGGAACTTGGACAGCCAGGTCTTGCAGCAGTTGGGGCGCTTCGGGGCCTGCATGTGCACCTCGCACTGGAGCCTCTTTTCCAGGGCCAGCGGATCGCCGGGATGGCGAACCAGTGGTTTCTGTTGGCCACCACCGCGCGTAAATTGCGACGCCGTTTGACATGAAAGTTGCGATTGTAGTCGGATGTAAATGAGGGGCGCAGGTTGTTGGTTGGTTTGGTTGTTTGGTTGGTTTGGTTGGTTCAGGTGGTTCAGTGGACGATGATTCGATGGATTGGGTGGGGCAAGTGCATTGGCATGTGCGTAATTTCATTTAATTTCGTCGCAATTTTTCAATTCAATTCCGGCCGAGTGGTTGGTTTTGGTTGCCAGCGATGTTCGGAGATGGTTTGTAGTGGAAGGTTGGTTGTTGCAGTTTTTCAGGTTTATTTGTGGTTGATTGTTGATGTTGAGGGTGGTTTTTTGTTGTTGTTGTTGTTGTCATTGTTGTAGTTGGGATAAGCACGTTTGAAAGTTGTTGAATTTTGCATTTGTTTTTTTGATTTGGGTTTTGTTTGGTTTTGTTGTGTGGTATTAAAAAAGAGGCAAATATAAAAAGAAATAGTTGTTTTAATAGTTTTATCATAACAATTTTGCCAATTAAAGTTTGTATTTTGTTTTTAAAACCAAAGTGAGCTGGCGAAAGCTTCTTTTCCCAAAAAGGGGAAAAAACACAAATAAAAAATGAAATGATCCCACAACCAATAACACAAAAATTTTAAGTAAAAATAAACATTAAGAAAAGGTGAAAATAAATAGATAGTGGCCAACTTTTGTGATATGTATTTACCACCTTTAGCTAAGACCCCCAATAAACCATAAGCTGTTTGGATTTCAAAGAGATATATCAAGAGGTAAGTACCATTGCGAACGTTGCATTGCTATCTGTATCGAGCAGATCTGAAGCGGCATCTAAACTGGCCTGCTCCAGATCGCGGCGCTTCTTTTTCATATTTTCCTTATGCATGTCTGCGGCCCGATCCGTATATATCATAGGATATATGTTGCATGTGATGGAAGATGTTTGACAAGAATTTATTTGTTCCACGGCAGTTGGATGGATTGGTTTTGGTTTTGATTTCGATTTTAAGTTTTCGTTTGGTTTAATTTTGTTTGGTTTTTTGGAATTTTTACAGGTTTTATTGGGTGTGTAAGTTTAGATGCACAATTAAACACGGTTAATAACAGTTAGACAGCGATAGTGTTAGGCGAGACAGAGATAGAGACAGTCAGAAAGAGAAAGACAGAGAAAGAGTCACACATACAGAAAACGTTAAACAATTCGAAATGTCCACAAAAACAAAAAGGAATATGAAGGAAATTTAAAAGAATCGGCCAAGAAACCAAACAATATATCGAGTGCAATTAGATCGATAAGGTCAGGGGTACGCAGGGTGTTAAAATAATAAGGAAATCATAAATCGATTTCCACAACGATCGGTGGATATTCACACACAGTTTGTAGTTATATACAAGCATTGTATTACAACAGCAAGGAACCGAACAGAATTCGTTGTAATTCGAAAGGAAATTCGACCAATTTGTTTACATATTTTGTTTTTTTTTTTCAAACGCGTTTAAAGTTCGTGGTTTGTGGGTAGTTGGTTTTGGTTTTCGGTTTTTGGTATTTTCGTGTAGAGTGCATGTCGGGTGTGGGTGTTCGTATGGATGTCGATGAATGGTGGGCGCACAATGAAATAAGAGAGTAAAACAAAAAGTTGGATTAGTTTCGGAACACACGATGGAATCATTTTTTGGTTAGATATCAAAGTGAAAAGTAAATAAAAGGAACAAAATTGATTAAAATTCTACGACTAGATCGTTGGGCTTTCGCCTCAGACATATAGATATGTAGGTACGTTAGGTACGCTAGGAGTACTCCTTGGACATACTACATATATATATGGATATAGCCCGAAACTTGTTTTTCTTGTTGTTGTAGTTGTTGTTGTGTGCCACGCCGGTCCTGCGTGTGTGAGTGTTCTGATATAACGGTCCACAAAGTGAGAGTACTCGTGTTTGTGTGAGATTGAGTGTGACGTTGGTACAGAGTTTTGTTGGGATTGTATGTACAGTATGCGTAGACATTTATATAATGGCTACTACTTAGATATGTACGTATATTCGTTCACTCAGTACAATAAATACAACAGAAAAAAGATAAACACCATCGATTAATTAACATTTATAAGTGGTTAAGAAGCATATAAAAGTTCAATTACTAGCTTTATTCGAACCTGAACGGGATGCATAGTTCACCAGGGCGAACTCGAGCAGGGCCCCGAACACGAACGTCAGGCACACGCCAGTCCACACGTCGATGGCCTTGGTGTAGGAAACGGGCGGCAGGGAGGCGTTTATGCCCGACGTCTGGGTGGCCATGGTCAGGAGGGTGGTCACACCTGCAAGGTAATTACGCGATGCAAAGGGGTTAGGTAATGGTATAAGCTACAATTTCTGAAGGGTTACGACCCTACACTACACTGCATTTTAGCTTAAGTCATATGACACTGAGATATGGCGTATGAGCTATGGATAAACTGTCTAAAAGCTTTTAAATAAATATCACATTTATCACTAAAACCTTCGACTCTGCCAACATTCAGAGAAATATTTCTGTGACTCATTTTTCAGGTCATTTCTTTTAAATAAATTGGCTAGGCTCAACTAAGGTTAAGATCATTTTCTCCTCTCAGTGTTTTAATATTCATACATACGTACATTATTGGACAACTGTTAGATCGTCTATGAAAATGCAAATTAGGAGATTGAAGAATTTATAATTTTTAATTATATTTTTAAATAAGTAAAATGGGGAACTCATGGATTCGATAGGTTTTTTTTTGAGCTCGCACTTAGATTATGAAATATTTAAATTACAAGTATTTATCGTATTATTTTAATTTATTATTTTATTATTTTATTTATTAATTCACAGATTATTACTTAAAATTGATTTCGTGGACTTACCCAATGACACACGCGCCGGCACTGCTCCTTGATCCAGCCAGAATGATACCCATGATACAATGACCAACATACAGCATGGTATATAAATTTGTATTAAGTAATATGAGAATTCTCGCTTGAATAGTAGATCGACTTTGAGGCAACTGTATTCACCTATGAGTATACAAGGTATATAAAACGTGTCAAACTCAAAATGTACGGGAGGATGTTCGTTTTGCAGCTTTTGGCTTTCGCTTTCGCTTTGCTTAAATTTCACACGCACACACAGTTTTAGTAGGTATATACACACAGATAGATATCCAATACATGTTACAAAGAAATGCCATCCAATAAAGAGGGAACATAAAAAGTGTCTTGCTCGGAAATTTTGCCAAGAAAAGAAATTAAAACACATTTACAGACCATTTTTTCGGGTCGAGTCTTTTTGGGTATGTACAAAAAGTGGGTTTTTCCGAAAAAAAAGGAAATAAAAAGTGGGTAAAACATATCAAACAAAGTGGGCGGAGTTGGCGGCGGCTTAAGATGACATAAAGTATTTACAGGAAAACACAAAATTCAGTGGGGAGAAGGGGGTGGTGGCACACAGAACGTGGAAAATTATAAAATCAAATGAAAAATTGCATCATAGGCAAAAAGTATCAACATGAATTCAATTTCTGACTTTTGCAACAAAAATCTTAACGGAAATGAAGTTCGACGGCTTTTGTGTGCTGGTTCTTGTTGTAGCTACTGATTTTCATTTCGTTCGCTTCCGCTCGACAGGCGCTGCTGCCACGCCCCCTACCCCGCCCCCTGCGTCGTCCCCACGCCCCTTTCTTGTGCTTCATTTCCGTTAATTTGTTGGCAAAGCGTTCCATACTCTTCAAGACAAAGTTGTTTATTATTTTACATTCTCATATTTTTTTGTTTAGCTTTTTCTCATTTTCAATTTCGGCGATTTTGTTAGTTGAGCGTGTGCTGTTCATTCAAATTTCTCTCAGTGTCCGTATGTGCGGGCTGTGATTGGCCCTGTTTGCATTCGACTGCTGCGCGTGTGGTTTATTTGCTTGGCTCTTTGGTCTGGGTTTTGGGTCTGGGTCTTTGGTCTGGGTCTGGGTCTGGTACGCTCTCCATATAATCGCAGCTGGAACAGTTCGCACTGCGGCTTTGGTTTTTGCTTTTGCTTTTGCTTTGTTTTTTGTTTTTGCTTTGCCTTTGGTTCTGGCTTTGCAACTGGCTTTGCAACTGGCTTTGCAACTGACTTTGCAACTGGCTATCATCAATCAAACGATGACTCTCATTCTCTTGGCCGAGATTCGTTCGACACTTGAGCTCGTTTCGCCCTTTAAATCCGTTCAACGCTCATAGAAGATATAAAATTAATAAACTTTATGTGAGCAACTAAGTTCAAGGCGAGAGATCTAAATTGCAACAACTACGCAACGTCTAGGTGGAAAAAGTCATATTTAGTTGAGATTAAATATAAAGTTGAGCTAAAAATGAGTTTGTTTTTGTTTTTTGTTTTTTCTATCGGGAGTGATGAATTTCAGGCTCATGCTAACTTATTTTTGGATGGATGATGGGTATGATGGCCCTACGTAAAGATAGTCTTTGCCTTGCGTTCGCTAATTGGCAAACAAACAAACTTCGTGTCAGCAGGTTTTGGCTTGATTTAGGTAAGTCTGCCCCCAAATGAATACGCGATTGTATTTGCTCAGGCTCCCGTAAACTATCCTAATATGCTGACACACAATTTGCCAACTCAACTCGTGAAAAAATCTGGCCCTCTTGTTTGCCTCCATTTCCACTTCCAGTTCCACTTCCTCTGTCACATCTACATCTACATCTATAGCACATCCACATCCACATCCTCGTCGCCATCATCTTTGGTGCAGCTTCTTTGTGCAAGTTTAAACAACGTCGCAGACAATTTCCTCGATTAATTTACTTTCCTTACGGCTTTTGCCATTTTTGCCTTCATTTTCCGTTTGGCATTCGATGGGGAATCTCCTCGATGCCGCCGCTTCGCCCCCGACTGAATAGTTGTTCGCCAAGGTAAACATTTACTTAAAGCGCGCGCAGATTTCAAAGTGCTCATAAAAAACGGCAAGGTAAACGATGTGTACAATGTGGGGGTGTGGGAGTGTGGGAGTGTAGTGTGTATATATAGAGGCACGTGTGTGCAAGTGTGTGAATTACATCGTAAAAATTTGGTTCTATGCGTTTCGGGTATTGATAACGGTCCAAAACGATATGCTCATTGAAATGGCGCATGTGTAAACGGCATCTTATGAAATTCGCTATTTCGTCTATATATAAATAAATGTATGTGAGGGGGTGTGGGTTATTGCGGGTGTATGTGTGCGCTATGAAGTGGTTATGGGTCCGTTTATAATATTTTCCAGTTGGGACCCAACGTTTACGATATGGTTAGAGCTAAAGTTAAACCACTTGGCATGCAATCTCAAGGGAACACTTATTACAAATGCAAACAAAATACGCAACGCAGCGAGGAAACGTAACAAGCCGAGAACGTGTAAATAGGAGAATAGTTAATTATATTTTATTGCGGGCAAAAATTGGCTGAAGGAACACTGTGGAACACACATTCTGAACATACGTACCAGTGTTGGTTTTACTGTTGCAGTAATCAGTCAGAAACTTCTCCAGTGTGAAGCGAGGTAGGTGTAAGTTCTTTACCACCTGCACAGGATCGCCCTCCTTCCACAGGAAGACTAAGTCGTTGGTGGTCCAGCCATCTAAATAGTGGACATTGAATGAGTTTCTTCGAACAACATAATTATAAACTATGTGTAATGTCTTAATGTGTGCTGTGATAAATAGTCCCAGAACAGGTCTCCTAAACTAAGTTCAACTAACATTTCTAAAATATATATATTGTTATTGTGAAAAGATTTGTATTGTTTTAAGTGACCTGTAAACGATTATAATTAATCGAAGTTGCCTGCCAAACTCAATGTCACGGTTGGTTTTGATATTTTTATAACATAAAATACAAAATAATATAGATATTTCATTTGTCCATTTGTACAAAAAAAATATGTAAGTACTATTGAATAAATAAATAAATTAATTTTGAAAAATTATTCAAATTCGGACAAGACAAATGTATTCCTTCAGTTGGTTGAATTTTCTTTTTATTACAACTTGAGTTCATTTAAGTTAATTTAATGTGTGAGATTTACAAGTCTAAATTAAAGCAAATTTTTTTAGTGCAGGGCTTCATAAGTAAAACATCGCTTTCGATGAATTCAAGCGAATTTTGCTGGTGGTTGCTACTTACAGCTCGCCATCCGTAGTGAGCAGATCTGTCTATCCAACGGATATAGCTTTAAGTTCATTGGGCAGGCCAACGTCAGCGAGATACGTATACTATATAGCACTGAGCCGTTGGGGAAGATGCGAATATACACATTGGGCATGATGATGTTATGGAAGTGTCCCTCCTTCTCGTTTGAGAAGAAAAGATCGGGCATCCACACGCGGTTCGCCTCCGTCAGGGTCAGATATTTCAGGCGTCCTGTGGGGTGGAGAGGGCGGTAAGTTACCCTTAAGTTCCCTCAATCAATCTTTGCTTATTCAACTTTAACTAACCCTGGATATCGTCGAACTTCAGCCGTTCATCCGTCCACTGCTCACGGAAGGTTAACTGGACACTGTACTCCTGTGGACGGTGAAATTGGAGGTGGATGGTGGTGTTGGCCAGAGGAAAATTCTCATTAGTAGACGAATTAAATTAAGTCTTTGCGGGAATTCAATCTCAACTAGAATGCAAATTTCGTTTTGTCGAATCGAGAAGGGAGTTTCTTTCAAGTTTTCTTTTCTTTTCAATTTTTTAGATTGTGTGTTAAGAGGACATTTCAATGGGGGGGTTAGCAGTTCGATTTATTTAATTGAATTTGATTTTTGGTTTGGGGGGCTTTAGCTTTACTTTTGCAAAGATTGTTTTTTGTTGGAGAATGAAAGAGCGAGCAAGGCGAGGCGAAGTAGTTGTTATTTGTATAACTGAGTGGTATATATTGATATTCGTATATATATATATATATATAGAGATTATGGTGGTTAACTGTCGTTTGGCTTGGGTTTTTGCTAGTTTAGGATGTTCTCCGAATTGTTCGGGTTGATGGTATATCTTTTCATGGCTAATAAATATTTTATCTTTCCAAATGCAGCATGCGACGTGCTGCACACTCAAACGAGCAAGCACACTAAAAGCAGGCAAAAAACACGTCAAGACAAAAGCATAACGAGCAGGCGAAATGGGCAAAAGCAAGGCATCCTTATGCATAAAAGCAAGCTGAAAAGTATTTTATAGATCAACTTAAAAATATCTTAAGAAATCCTTATGTGTTGAATGAACTTATTAGAAATGAAAAAAACTTGAGGTGACTTCCATCAGCTTATAATATACAAAATATAAATATTATCAAGCCCTCAGTGGAAGGCAAGCAAATAACTTCTTAAAAGATTAGTTCAACGAGAATTCGCTAAAATGCATGCTTAAAAATATATCTAATTGGTTCATTTAAACTCATGCCATTCCATGGGACCTTAATAGGGATATGGGATTTTAATTAAAAAATCAACAAAATCCAACTGAAGTTGAATGGTAACCCTGTTAGTTTAGTTACAGCATGTTGTTCAATATTTTTCCCGTGATTTAATGAATCCCAGAAAGGGGAGAGTGTAAACACTTCTCAATTAAGAAGAGTGAAAACAAATAAATTTGAATAATTATTACAAATAATTGCTTTTTATTTATGACTGGTTTCTTTTATGCATTTTAACATGGCGCAAATTAAATGTGACGTGAGTTTTTTTGTGCCAGCCGCTGACTGTCGAGCTGTCCGCTTTTTACTGGCGGTTTTCCTGACAGCGGAAACCAAACTGGACAAATGGAAATTGTGAATGGTTTTCCCATTTAGTTTTTCTGCTGGCGCTGGCGCTAGCATGATATCTGTTAGTTTGTACTTACACTTAGCCCTGTCATATTATCTAAATGGAGCTAAAATACTCTCGTTTTTATTAGTGTGTGGAAAGCATTTTCAATTGGTTTCATTGAGCCCAAAAACTGGCTGGAAAGAGGTGGTATAAAATGATGAAGTTAAGTGAAAAAACCGAATCGAACAAAACTATACAGAATGAGCGATGGTGTGGGCGGCATTTGTGGGCTGTGGTTTTGAATGTTGGCGGTGCTGGTGGTGGTGGTGTTATGCGTCTGTTTTTGTCTTGCGGCCGTTCCGACCTAAGCCTTAAGTCTAGCCTAAGTTACAACTAAAACTTAGTTCATAAAATAGTGGTTTCGTTCAGTTTCACTTGACACGCTGGCAGTGGCATCGGTTGGCGGTGGAGACAAAGCTTAAAGCGGGTTTTGCTCTTGAGTTCGAAAATTAAAATAAGGACGTTAAATAATATCAAGTATTTTTACACAATTCGGTTCAATTACATTGATTATTTATGTATATTTATATTTGTATAATACAGGTACATTGAAATTGTTAACATAATCAGCTTGCTCGATTTGTAGAGGTTGCAGATATAAAGACAATGAAAAGATTTCACGGAAACAGGCCCGACGACTCGTCGCAAATCGACTAAAGTAATATATTTTACACCCATGTACGCCCACACAGACACACCGAAGGACATGTATTATTAATGCAATTATTTAATAGGCCAAATTACTGGAATAACTTTTGTAGACACACACACGCACGCACAATTACAGCAATGTGATAGTAAGCGCTTGGGATTTAAACGTTTGTATCTGTAGTAGTTGAAGTGGGCGTGTGCTTATTGGAGTTCTTGAGCCGGGACTCACCATTTTGTAGTCGTCGATTTTCGAAATGGAGCGCAGGAACATGTTCACCTCCACAGTGGTGGCCTTATTTGCTAAAATCAATCATCATATCAAAATCGGTTCCTCTGTTTTTCAGTTTTTCGCCATCCTTATGTCGAATCGTTCTTAGCCTAATTACTCTTACTAGCTAACTAGAAATATAGGATATGTTCGAGCTTACACTGGCTTAAATATTAGAATTTTGATGAATTTTATGTGTGAACGAAATGTATTTTTTTTTACATAAAAAACCAAATATAACTCATAAAACAATTGAAACACATTCGAACGAAATTGAATAATCTAATAAAATGTTTTGAGAAAATGTCTGCATGGATCTCGTTGAAAGTGATTTTGGTTAACGTTTTGGTTTGTTTTAGTTTAATATTTATGTTTGCGTCAATTTAACTCTAAAAATGTATTAGTTTTTTTTGATAATTGGATTTCGTTCTTTGTCGACGTCTGTGTAATATTTCTGTATTTTTGGAAAATGAATGCCACACATTTTTATTTAGTTTTTCTTCTGTTGCCTTGAACGGATTTATTAGAGTTTGCTTTGTAATATAAATGCATCAATTAAATTCTATGTTGGCGGTCGGAAAATAAACGAATCAGTTTCAAATACATTAAAGTGTTTGAAACAATTTTTCATTGGGCAGAAAAAGTTTTATTTTGTGGGGGTTGGGAAAAGAATAGATGGGGAACACACATATAAAGCACACGATTAGAATTAACAGTTCACATTTGAATTTATTGTTTCACTAAGTACGTATAATAGCATAAATTAAAGAACATTGTTAATTTCACAGATAAATATTTTAAATAAGCAAAAGGCGTAATTAAAAGTAAATCTGTATATAATAATTAGGCCGAGGCTAAATAGATGGTTTATACCTCTCATCACAGTTATAAATAATTATATATGAGATTAATTAATTAATTAATAATTATTAGTAGAAATTTGTAAATTTTTACAGATAGGTAGAGATAGAGTAAGGTAAATTAATCTATTATGGATTATATTATGTTTTAAAAGAAAGGGATAGCGGCGGTGTGAGAGAGAGAGAGACAGTGTGGGAAAGAGATCCAAAAAGACATTTTTTCACAATGTTTTGTATTTCTTTTAATTTTCTATAAAACGGCAAACTTAATGGTTTATTTTACAATTTGTTAATATGGAAAAAATCAGTAAGAGAAATCCAATGCAAACTGATAAATGATAACTTCTAATTTAAAATGCAAATGTTAACTTAAAAACAAACTAAATTAGCAACTTCGCTTTCGTTTTCTATAAAACCAATATCGAATGCAAATCTTACATAAATCATACAACTCAAGTACGAAATCATATCACATCGATAGTCAAACAAAGTGTGTATTGTAGATACCAATATCAGATAAAATACGTTAGCATATATATTATTTCCATGTTTATACATATAGTCTTGTATCAATTTGAGTGTCTTGGCTGCTTTCCCGACGCCTAACAGCAGTAGCACGAGTGGAGGAGCAGAACACGGCCTATAACAAAGAAGGGACAACGGATGGGGCTTCTCTGAACCGGACCAGGGGCACGACTTGACCATCCAAGGGAACTGGGGGTCTGACTTTCTATCGGGGTTTTAATTTGGATTTGATAGTTTGCGGATGCGCCGACTTACCATGGTTACATCATCGATTTTCGATATACTCCTAACGAATATGTTGACGCGCACCACAGCCGGACCATCTGCAGGCGATACATGATAGATAGACATATTCACCGATTTGCACAATACTTTCAATGTAATATACTACAAATTTTAACAGCTGCCGCAGGGTCCAACCCCTAAAAACAAACTTAAAATGACCAGTGGAGGGGGTGGAGCAGGCGGAAAGGCTCCGCATCTCCCCCTCCCATATTTGGCAGTCCTTATGCCTTTATGTTGCTCCCTGTAATAAAGTTTTATTTTATAGCCTTCCTCTCGGTTGTTGTCTTCCTTTTTGCTTACTTGCTACGGTACAAAAGTTGCTAAGCAAGTTCGCTTCCAGTTTTGCTTACAAAGCTAAGCTAAGTCAAAGAAAATTTTCTTCTCGATGTTTGTTTCGTTTTGTTTGCGTTTTTTATATACCTAAGTTAAGCTAGAATTTATGTACGTTACTAAAGTTGCGTTGTTTGTCTATGAGTTTTTTTTGTGACCTTCGGGGGTGACATAAAGGGGGTGGGTACTCTACGAATGGGTGGTGAGGGCTTTGTACGAATGTGTGGTATGATTAAAATACAGGAAAATCAGTGTGATTCGCTTCCAAACTTCAAAGGCAAAGTGACTTGTGCTAATTGAAATGCCTTAATATTTAATATTTATCGATCTGGCCAATATGTATAGACTATATTTATAAGCTTATTTGTTGTTTTTAATGACCTTTTCCAGTCGGTGCTTCAGGACTTTAAATATGTGAATGTGACTGTGTCGGGTTATTTTCAAATATTTATGTTGCCTTTACATTATTAATTATGTCATTGCCGCGGTAAAAGTCAACATGATGGCAACAAAATGAACTGCAAATGAAATCAAAACGGCTTAAACATGAAAAAATTGTTTAAAAAATAGAACACTTGCAACTGTGTAACATGGGTGAGAAATTAATCGATTTTAAATATCAAACACATTTACTTATTACGTAAATAACTTTTAATTGACATTTCCTGGTTGAGTAACTTTGAAAACTATTAGCACGTTTAAACCTTAGAAAGCTAAAACATTTAAAAATAGGCATTGGCATAACAGTTCTGGAAATTTTGCAGAGCTTCGTTTTAAAGAAAGTAAATGAAAAATGAGCCCTGAAAAGTAGGCAGCGATATATTCTTTTCAATATGTGTTTTTATGGTGAGTCTAGCCAGTTTATTTGATTTAAATCTTTAACGAAACGCAATGAACGCTGTTTATAGTAACGAACGGAAACGGAAAAATAAATGAACAAACAAGAGGACAGGTATTGGTAAAATTGCCGAAATGGGGCCCAAAATCAAACGCAAATACTTAGCATCGGATGTTTATACGCATTTTATATATATATATATGGTATGTATCCAGAGAATTATAGAACGAGTCAACGCAAAACGCAAAAACAAGTGTGTGTTTTAAGTTACTAGTGTTGGCTATATGTGTTCTTAAGTGTGTGTGTGTATGAGTTGCAAGAGCTACCAAGGGAACTTTAGTGTTTTCTAATTCTTGATGATGAGGAGGCAGAGTGAGAAAGCAAGAGACAGAGTGAGAGAATCGTAGCAGGTGGTGGTGGGAACATTCTATCGATTTCGAATGCCGATATCGAAGTTACTGACTCCGTTTCAGTGCAACTTACCATTTTAATATCACTAATCGTCATAATACTGCGTACGAATAGATTGATTCTGACTATGGCGGGACCATCTGGCATAAAGTTTGGTTTAAACGTGAGTTTTCGACGTAAATGTAAAACGATTAACTTATTGAACTGATCTAACTAAGCTAATCAATGCTTCGATCTGATTGGCACACTAAGCTAAATTAGAGATGATTCGGTATAGGATTTTCTTTAACTTAGGCAGAGGCTTACATTAGCTAAGAATTTCATCATTTTGTTATAAAGCTTTCCTATAGATAGCTTTCGCCAATAATTCGTACATGTGACATCGTAAATAAAAAGCGAAAATAAAATCAATTCATAAAGGCAAATACAAAATATTAGATACTGAATCCAACAGAATTGTTAAATATTATTCATCGTACGGTTAATATCTAAAATAGGATTATTATATATTTGAATTCATGCTCACCTGTGCCATTTATTCCGGATGGTCGTATTCGGGCGTCGTATTTGCCTGCACCTAAAATTTGATCTAAGACTTTTTTCTCCTTTTCTCGGAAATTTATTTTGGCATTATTTGCTCTGAAATCAGGATACGGATAGGTACGCATGTATAATTTAAAAAATGTTTGCTTCAGTTTATTGGTCAAATTTGAAAAGCTTAGGATTTAAATGGTATTTAAGTTTTAGAAAAAAATTAGCTGAGAAATTTGTTTTTTTTATGGAAAATCGCACAAAACAAAGTCTTTTTTTTTTACAGCAAGTTATTGTTTTTTTTTAGAGATAAATATGTACAAATAGATTGAAAGTGTGGGGAAGTGTTCGCTTTTATTGTTTTCGTTGGTATCATACACTGTCGCACTTATCAAAAGCCAAGACAAAGTCACATAGCTGCTGACTCTGACCTCGACTTGAGCGTAAATAATTCCAAAATTTATGCTCCGACAAAAAATTACACGAAAATTAATTACATTTTAATGAGGTGTCCTGTTGAAGTGTGTATGTGAGTGTCTGCGCTACAGGGTATGGAAACTCAAGTCAGCAACAACTGAAAAGCAAACTACAGCTTATAACTACATAACTAATTCAGCGTAATGGCAAAGCCACCGATGTATATATATACACAGAGAGAAATTTGAGGTTGTATAAAACTTAAAACTTGACATAAAAGTCGCCAATCTGGTATTTATATAATTACTTGTATTATACATACAATCTTTCATATATTTTATGGTATATTTATTTAAATAAAATTCTCAAAAGACAATTATTATTAATTTTAATACTTGGCATAATGGCTTTTGAGTGTATATAGATATGCATTTGGTTAAATATATCGGCTTCGCTGCTTCATGGCAGGGCGTGACTTGCCCAAATTAACGACAATTGTATGTAAATCGTATTTTGAACGCCACTTTCCCGCCAAGTGCTGTGTGAAACACGCGGAACAAGGGCCGCTCGGCAAAAAATGAAGCAAAAAGTAAGTGTAAATAAATGGTAAGTGGAGCGGGAGACAAAATATGAAGCGGCTTAAATACTGCAGCTATTGTTTGCGAGTGGAGTGGCGTGTAATTGTCTGTAAGCATTGGAAGTCGGCGGGGTACTTACAGTGATGCACTGCACAGGCTGGCAAAGTATAGGATCGCCCAGAAATAGTGTCCGCTGCCCATGTTGGGGGATGTGGGTGTGGTGTGCCGTGCGTCCTGCCTTCTGGATGGGGGCGTGGCAGCCTCCTGTGGTGGGCGGTGCGACCTGAAATGCAAGGCAACAACTATTAAATTCGGTACCAATTGATTCGATCAACGTATCGATGTCATCGACTCAAAATCAAAGCGTCTATTGAATCATTTTGGCAGCCCAAACGCCTCTGATTTAAACCACTGCCCGGTCTTGTGTGGCGTGTGAAATTGAATTAACCATTGAATTAGACCAATTAACATGCCATTTGGCTATCTGTGCCGGTGCATCAAATGCATTTCAATATATGCAATGCACCCCTCCTCCGTCTCGGCCTTTGTCGGTGTGCTAATGCGTTTTGCGAATGCGAAATCTTGCCATAAATGCAATTAAATTACCAATATCTTCATTCCCAGCACTAGAGGTGGGAAATTGAAAATTTAAAAGGTATTGACACCATAATGCTGCTTTAATCTGTTGCCCAGAGAACCCATTGCGTCGGTTGCCATTCATGAAAAATGCAAATTGCACTCGCAGCTCAACACATTCGTCGAACTGCAAAAGACTATGCCAGGAAATTTTGTTTACGAATGCTCTTTTAAAGGGTACGAAACAATATATTATATATGACTTTCAAATAACCTCGGTATATAAATACATAGATCCTTGGCTTGTATTTTCGGGATATAGACACGATAGTATTCCTAGATGTTGCTATTTTAATGCAATTAAGATTTTCTCCTTTCTCCGATTTAATTGAAAACTATAAGCAGTCGACATAGATAAGGTCACCTTTGGTCTCGGCTTTCTGTGCTCGGCTTTCTGTGTCTTTGGACCGACAACGTACTAATTAGAGCGATAATACCTTTATCTCGGCATTGCAGGATGCATAACAATGGCCATTTGCCTTGCAATACCCTGAATACGTCACTCTCTGCTGCTCGTTTTCATTTTGCAACAATCATTATGGTTGGGGCATTTAAAACAATGCCAACAATGACCGATAGTATCCCAGATATATCTGCTGACCATCTTTCGGAAAACCGGAGATGCAAAATACGAATACGAAATGGGAAATGCGTTTGCGAATATTGGAATCGAATTAATCCTTTATAGGCATTTTTCTCCACTCCAATGGACGACGTGCTGTGCATGGGCGATAAGTGCGTGTGGTGACCGAACTGCCACGCCCACTCATGACGCCTGGGATGGCCACACACACGCATTGAAACATTGGAACATTGGCGTGGCCATGACCGAGTCGGGCTTTCACAGTTTTTGCCATGAGGAGATCCACATATCTCCCCCTCTCAAGCAAATAATCAATTGGTCGAAATGGGAATGGGCTTTGAAATGGCAACAGGCTGGCCGCTCGAAATTTGCATTCGTGCTGTGTTAATTTGCCGCTGCTGTGCCTGCAATTTTGTGCCATAAATACATTCACATTCACATTCGCGTTTGCATTCTCATTCACCCAGTTACCAATGCAGTCGCATTGAGAAATACTGCTGCAACATCGGCGCTGAGTTGAGGACATGCACCCGGGTGGTCCTGGGCTCCTCCTCCTTTTTCCCTTTTTCCCTCTTTCCCTTTCCCTTTTCCACTTTATTTTTTGGCCCGCTGTCAAAGAAAGTTAACAATGCGACTGCGACTGCCAAATGTCCCACATTTGCTGCATGCCAAGCAGTTGGCGCCAATCCCCCTCCTGAAAAGCAAAAAAAAAGGACTGCCAACTGTGTGTGTGGTGTAAATGGGTTTACTTTTATTTCATTTGTTTGTGCGTGAGTGTAGGTATGTTTGTGACGAGTCGACACACTTTTGAGCTTGGCAATGTTTTTACTGTTCGCCACCGACAATAACAACAACAACACTTGTGCGCGCTTGTCTACCTCAGCGCCAGCTTTTGAGATGTTTTGTTTGCTTGTTGTTGCCAAGCTGCGAGTTGAATGAACGTGCAAACTGGGAAAAAAATTATGTAGACCCAACTTATTCAGCAAGGGATTGGGAAGGATGGGGATGGTAATTCTATTAAATTTTAGTTGGCTCATGTTTGTATATCTATCTTGAAAATCATTTCCTACACAAGGCACCTTTGTTGCGCACAACATCGTTATTTGTGGTGGATCAATTTCTTAACTTTGCAGGAAATGTAAACGCTAGCTTCAAGTCTTGATGTGAAAAATATTTCAAATACATTATTAATTTATGTATCATTTAATTCAATTCAATAACACTATGTAATTATTTGTTAATGGATGCATTGTTCCAAAGTAATTGTTAAGCAACATATGAAATCAGAATAATCATTTTAAATTGCATCTCAGCAATAAAGATATTTCCAGTTTTTCCTTTATTTAATTCATTAAAAAGTTTTAGCAGATGTCAAGCAAATTAAATCTAATCAAGCTTAAAACCTGTGAATAAATAAAAGTTTTCGCATGTCAAGCTTAAATCTTTGTATTTGATTGGATTTCAGTAAAGTCCTTTAATATGATATCTATTTTTTATTAAGAATTGCAAACATTTGACACTCTGCATTCAGCGTACAAAAAGTCGAGTGGCGCACAAACAGTGAAAAATAATTCCGACTTATTTATGGTGATTTTGATATTGCTTCTTGAGAATTTGTATACTTGATGGAATTGAAAACAGTATTTTCGAAAAGGTGATTTATTTGGCTCAGAGTCTGCTTTTGATCTATGGCCTTTATTCTATTCCCCGGCAGCTTAGTTTCCTGCAGTGTTGTGGCCAAAAGAGCGTACTATATGTGTGCAACCTCAACATACACTCTCACACATATACCCCATACAATCACAGCCCGCACACAGTCGTATATATTTTTTGCGTTTTATGCCGCTCAGCGGCGCTTGTAGCTCGTTATGTTGATTGGATTTTGTGCCGCCCGCACCAGAAAGTAGTCCACACACACACACATTAGCACCATGATACGAGGATACAAGGATACACACGCACACACACTATTAAGGCACTTGCCATAGCGGCTGAATAAAGTCAAGTGCCGTATGTGTGCGCCTGTGTCGGTCCGTGCCATAAAGCTGGATTCATTTTGCTATTGCTGTTGTTGTTTTATTTGCTGCCCTTACGCTTTGCTCCTCTTTTATGTATGCAAAAAATTTTACACTCTCGTTTTCGCCATATGATGTTGTTCCTCTCTTCCTGTCACTCGTTCGCTTTATTTTTCTGCTAAATTGTAAGTAAGTGGGCTTAGTAGCATTTTTCCATTTAGGACTCTCTGGTGTGTGTGTGTGTGTGCGTATGAGTAATATTCTACAGCTAGGATTTGCCTAAATCTCACCTCAGTCGTGAAGCCTTAGCTTTAACATTTAGGAGACAGTTTGATAAACACCGAAATCGCTGAGGCTGTTTTCGTGAGCCCAAGGTACAAACAATTTCGGGCGCTGGCAACAGCTGATGACACGTTTGGGTGCCCCAAATGAAACACAGGATAAACAAAGAGGGTTGGGGAATGGGAAGATCGAAAGGTCAAAGGATATTGCATACGTGAGTGGGTCGAGTAGATTGAAGAAAGCTTTCTAGGACCCAACTTATTGCTTTACCAATCAAGTCCTTGTCACATCCCCCTCGCTACCCCTCGCTATTACTTGATAAATTTTACAAACAGTTAACTGCAGTAAAGAATTGTGTCAACTTTTTACAACTATATATTTTCATTCAAACATTTTTAAATTTTTGTAAATAATTAAGTATTTTAATTTTCGAGCTACAAAAATTACTAAATATTCCAAACTAATATCCAAAATGATTTTTTCAACAAATCAGTTTTTTTTTTTTATAAAAAACATGAAAAATGTTTAAGACCTTTTAAATGTTTTAAAACTTACGATATTTACATTTTTCAATAATATTATAAAACGAGTTCTTCAAAATGTGAAATTTATTTATTGAAAAACAACATTTATTGCTTGCGGCATGATTTTCTGCGTCACAAAATTTTGTGATTTATTTGTCATGTCCAATAGGTAAACTTTTGGAAACTTTCCGCTCACATCTCGCAAGTGTCAAGCCAGGATTCCATGTCCCTCAGCTGACAGGACCAAACGGTCACAGCTTGCGTCCAGCCGACTTACCCCCTTGCTTCTGTTGCCCACTCATAATTAATTGAAATGTCAATACATTGTTTGTGCGACGCAGGAAAAATATTAATGAAAGCCGAACCCAATTCCTGGCAGGGGCGAGGATTAAAGGGCCTGAGGACTGGATTGTGTGTGCCCTATTATTAGCTTCGAACGGGGCGGAATCATCTATCAAGTAGGACCCCACTGTCTGTGCTATTTTTAGGATGTTCGGGCGGAATCTGAACTTTAACTGGAAATTAACTCGCATGAAAATTGGGCTATAATTTGCTGGATTTATTGCCACGAACAAATTGCCCTTGCATGGGCCCCCTGTCACCTAGTCGAATAGGTCAATAAACTAAACAGCACCCCGAAGGCGATAAAATTGATGGACAGAGGCGTTGTGGGGGGAGGCAATAGGAGTCGCGAGATAAGCGCGAATAGAAGTTCGTACCCCCCGTCTGTCTGTGTGGGACCCTTTTAAAAATGCACACGCACGCATCCCCACCTAAGCACCAATATATACGCTTACATAAATCACATATTCCAGCGCTTTGCGGCCATTTAATGGCTGTCAAGATAAGCTTTCGGGGCTCTGTATGTGGGGTTCCATGTCAGCCGCTGGTGTGTTTGGTGTGCGTGTGTGTTTGTGCCAACCAAAGTAAATAATGGCCTAAGCATTGTGCAAACTGTTGGGCAGCCAGCGGGCAATCCGATGTCTGTCAAAGTGCATTTTAATGTTTGTAAATGTGCAGCTGGCACGTCAGTTGAAGTAAAAAGCCATATAATCACCATGCAGAGACCGACAATTAAACTCACAGCGAAGCCCAATGCTTTCGAATTGGAAAAGTAATATGAACTTCAACTTTTGTCACTTTTGACAAACTTATTTTTTGGCCAAACTTGTTTGCTCGCCGGCGACTTCTTGAAAACGTATACAAGTATGTGTATATTGATTGGTAACGAAATCAGAGAAAA